TGGTGAGTTGAGGGGTTGATTTGCCACCAGTTGGGGTTGAGGGGTTGATTTGCCACCAGTTGGTGAGTTTAGGGGGTGATCTGCACCTTCTGCCAAATCATTTCCCCTCCCTGACCCTAGGAACTCAATTGAAAATAAAATAAGTTAGTGATCTTAGATTAAGGAAAAAAAAAATCTTTGAGTGCTAAAAGTGCGGATTTCTCATTTACACTAATAAATAGACACATGCCGGATCTTGTCCCCAAGTGAGCTGTAGCTTTTTTGGGCGGAGAAGTTCCTTTGGGTGGCTATCAGGCACAATGTCACTGTTGGTGATGATAAGGTATTTGTTTTTGTTCCCAAAATCGAAAGATTCAATCTTTCCTTCTCAATGTTCTTGTTAATCCAAAAGAAAACCACTTTCCCAAGAAGCAAACAAAGCTAAATGTTTTTTTGTTTCTAGGATTCAAAATGGGGTTTTCTTAAAATCAAGGGTATCTAGTTTGCCGAGGCTGGAGGTTAAGAGGATTATCGAGTTGTATATGGTGAAATCTGAATCTGTTAGGGTGTCTAAGATTCTGCCTGATATTGTAGAAACTAGAATCTTTAGCAGCTTTTATGTATTTTGATGCAATTTTGGTACCCAAAAGCTGAGGATGGTCTGTAGTTAACTGTTTACTGGTACCAATTTCTTGTTTCTACCTAATGACATTAGAGGGTTTATATGGCCTTAGGATTTAAGGCATTGTTATTATGTATATCTGTAGTTCTTCAGGGGTCCAATGGAACCCATAGCTACACCTTTTTATTTAGCCTTCAATTAGTGACTATTTGTTTCATCTTTACAGTCGATGTCAAGCATGGAGTCGATGTCAAGCATGGAAAGAAGGAACAAGTATTGCCAAATGTGGAAAGAAGTATTGTCTATTGTGTGTGGATGGTGTACTAGTTGCCTTGAGCTCCTCCGAGCAGAAAGAAATTGCAAAGATTAATGATTCAAAGTAGCATTGCAGTGCAGATGCTATCATAATTTGCCTTCTAAAACTGGGATGCTTGATTTTTCTGTTGTGGAAGATCAATCTTTTGAGAATGAGAGAGTGAAACAGAAGCTAAATGAGCTCTGTCAAGAAAATGCCGAAATCTATTTGTAGGTACAGCCTATGCTCTTTTGTAGGTTTTATGATAATATCAAGATGAAGGTGCTGTAAATTAGCAGTTTCCTCTATTATCGTACAGGCTTATAGCTATTTGTGGCCACTGTCATGCTGACTTCTGAAGGTTAAATTCTTTTTTTTTTTTTTTAGATATTATAAACTCACTAACAATGTTTGCCCAAAAAACCTCATTAGGAATGTTCTTAGAATGTTCTGTTTTCAAAGTTACCTAGTATGAAGGATAGAACAATGAGATGGGTAAGTCTAAGCTTCATGCTAGAAGGCTCATGTTAAGAAGGTTACATATTCTAAATTCCTTTTTCTCATTGAAGTATGTTTAGTTCTTCGTTGAATCTGAATAACTAGTTTATATCCAAGCATCTTAGAAGTACACTTCACATGCTGAAAAGATCAAAGAATGTCATTCTGAATCGGCATATGCCCTATAATGTCTCTGGACCAAACTAAGAAAAATAACTGGCCAAAGAAAATGAAAATGAGGTCAAATTATGATTTTGGTTTTTCTCCAAAATGTTATTTCACTGTTTTTCATGCTGAAACTTGAAGGATGATTACTGAGTATATATCCAGTAATCCTGACTTGCATTTTCAATTCAGGGAGCTGAGAATCCTAGAATTTGCATTGCTTCAATAAGGGTTTCCCTAAACCTAGTCAGATTGATCTTTAGGTCTTGGCCATCGACATAAACTGCTCTGAAAGCTTGGTATCCTTTAGCAATTATAGAGCCTACATCAGTAATGACAAGGTGATCTCTTCCATAGGTGTTAATGAGGGAACTCTCCTCTGGCTCAATCTTGTACTCCAAGTATCTCAGACCCATTCCCCCAGCAGGCTCCCCAAAGTAGGCAGTTGATGCCCACTCCAGTCCCAGTGGAACTGCCTGAATCACCACTGCTCCAGTAGGCAAGAACAGCTCATTCGCCATACCAGCACCATGTGCTCCAACCAAAACACTGCAGGAGTTCACCACCCTGGCAAACTTCTTTAGTTTTGACATCCTACCAGGCGGAATAACCAGTACCTGGAAACCTAGTTTCTCCATCAGCTTCACCATTTCATCTTCATTCAAAAACCTTCGAGAGTTCTGGCGAGATATAAGCATCAACACTGGCTTCTCAACTTCCGAAACATGCTTTATTTTCAGATTGTATGTTTCCATGAGGAAGTGCTTGAAATCAGTCATGGAATACCCTCCTGGAATGTCTGTGGAATTGAGGACTAGGTTGTCATGGAACTGGAGCCCTACAATAGCTCCTGGAAAGCAATGAACCTTGCCGTCTGCCTCAGGATCTATGGCTGCATAAGGAGAAATTTGAGTGAGAATCTGGTTGTACTTCTGCACCCACTGGGCACTGTAATCAGTGATGATGAATTTCAAGCGTGACTGGAAATGGCGGCAAGTGATGAATAAAGGGATGATAATCTCGTTGAATTCATGAAACAGGTTCCCAGCAAAGCCACCAGAGGAGAAGATAACAGCTGTGACATTGTGCGTGAAATCACAAGCAGGTGGGTTGATATTTCCCTTTAGCATCTTCACTGGTGTGACATTCTGCATGTCATCCTCCTTCCTTGCATATGGCTTAACTATTCTTTCAAGGGATTTGTTGGAATCAGATGGAATGTAAATTTTCATTGCTTTGGTGTCAATCCTGACAGGTTTATTGGCAACACAGACATCTGCGTGAAGACCATTGTGGCAAGAAAATCCCTCTGCTTCAAGCCTGGTTCGATCATCACCTATTGCATTGAACACCATAATCAGGGGAAAATATATATATATATATATATATATGTATATGCCAAAAGTTTGAGACACTCCATATCATAAGAATGTTAGATGGACAACAGATAACCTCTGACAAGTCTTCTCAACCAAGACCTCTGAGAATCACTGCCTTTGTCTACCTTTTCCCTGCTGGAATTGCCTCTCCAATCTGTTGTTGGGTGCTTCCCTTGAATTTCCAAGCAAAGCCAGGTCAGTCTATGAGTATGAAACAGCAGAAACAGAAAGAATAGTGGATAGACAAATGTTTACATGGTTCAAACAGGATATCTATTGATGCAAAATATGTTGCATAAAGCAATGTCATTAGAAGTAAACAGGCTGCTAAAGCTGTAGAACTCAACAGCCTCCTTGGCTCCTTCATCTCTTTCAATCTCCCAACCTTGCTCAAACTTGTTGCAATCCTATTTTGAGTGAACAAAACAGCTATACTTATACAACTTCAATTATATGGTTTCTTAATCTCATATTTTCATGTAATGATTTTCTTAGGCATACAACCCAGTTGACGGGGAAACTCTAGCTGGAACTTAGATTTATTATGGGTCCTTTGCATGATCAATTTAGAATACTATCATTTTTTTCTTTTCCATTATTTCTGTGGTTTTGGTTGATGCATGACTCTTTATCCATAGTGTTTTAATCAAATGTTTGGTCTAATCACCGTCAAAATGGTTTTCAACAACACTTATAGTAAAAGGAATGATTCCCTTTACTTTTTTTGCGTGAAAATCTTGATTTCTAGGATTTCAATTGTCCTAAAATTAAAGTTACAGCTGGTGTAGCCTCAATTTGTTTTTGTATAATGGACAAAATACAAATTGAGAGGTTTTATTTAGCAGAGAGATTCTGGTTATAATTATAGTAACTATTTAATTTGTTAAGATCAATAAAAATTATTAAATTTTTATCTTAATTTTATTGCTAAAAATAATAATAACTTATAAAATAGTTAATGTTTATTATTAACAAATTAATATTAATTTATAAATAGTAATTAATTATTTACAAAATTATAATTTAATAATA